CAGGGCGGGCTGCCTGGCCCCCCGCTCCCCCGGGGCTTGCGGCTTGATCGAACGGCACAAACGGGCACGGGGAGCTGTGCGGGGAGGGAGCTGCCTTCGCCCCGGCGGCAGGCAAGGAGCCAACGCAGCACCGACCCTTGGCCGGGCACCAGGTAGGGCCCAACACAGGCACTTCAGCCAGCATGGTGCTGCCCCCTCGCACCTGGGAAGGGGGCAAACGGGGAGCCAAGCGCTCGCCGTCGTGCTCGCCGGGCAGCCTGGCTTGAGGGATGTCCTCTTCATGAGCTGGGCACGCACCAGCCTGCAGCCCTGCTGGTGAGGGAAGGGGCTCAGAGATAAGGACCACAGGTGGGGACACAGGGCAGTCGAGAGCTACCTGGCCTGGCTCTGTCCCATGGTGTGGGACTGGGCTCTTCCCCTCCTCGTGGGAAAGCCTCAGTCAGACACGGGCTCTGCCTGAGCAATACGAGGCACCAACTTGGATTTTGGCCCTGGGGCCAGCTAAGGGTCCCAAGTGCCATCTCTTGTGCCCGCCAGCCTGGCTGTGGGAGCCCCTGCTCTCCTAGAGATGACCACTGCGGCAGCAGGGAGAGGGGGACAGCCAGCTCGTTTTTACAATAACGTGGGAGTCTTCTTGCAGCATCCGGAGCCATGGGTTCCCCTGGGCCCCAGCCACCTCCGTGCTGTGTGGGAGAGACCAGAGGGAGCGTGCCAGGGCACAGCATTTTTGCTGCAGAGGCAGGCAAAGCACTGGCGGTCCATGGCTCCTGCAGGCTCAGGGGAGCAGCAAGTGGCTAGTAAAACTCAAGCAAACATGAGTAAAAGCAAGTTGGAAAGGTCCCCTATTTTAATCAAGTCCTGGGCCTCCAGAACACCTTGCTGATATACACTGGAACGTATACACAAACACACCTTCCCCTTTTCCCGCACACCAGGAGATGCAAAGGTCTCGCTGGGGGACGTGCGGAGGAGCGGTGCCGAGGTGAAGGGCGACGCAGTCAGTGCGTGACCCAGCGGAGCAGGGACAGGAAAAGAAGAGCCCAACAGCTGTAAGAACCGCTTGGACAAAGAGCGCCTCTTGTTTAGGGAAAGGAACAGTGAACAACACATTTTGGCATGCCTCCACAAGCCCTGATTGCCTCAAACCCTGATAACATCCGAGAGCGCTGCCTGCACAGCATGCAAATGCCCTGTGAACCCACAGCCATTGCTCGCCTCTCCCTGGGAGAGGAAGGCTGCTCGGGGGCAGCAGGGGGCTGTCTCATGCAGGCCTGACCACGTCTGGTGCATGGTGCAGCCCGGGGAATTTGTTTGCTATTGTGTAAGTCCCAAATTGCAATGCAAACATGTGGCCGAGAGCTTCATCACCTCCCGTTTGTTAGGGCACTGAGCGCACTAAGAGGCCTTAATGGCCCTGAAGAGCATCACCTGGGGCCTCTACCCACCCCCTCTGCTCATGGGCCCAGCAGCTTATTTCAGTTCCCCCTGGGGCCTTCAGTTCCTAGCAATGCTGTTACAGTGCTGGTCTCCAGCTCCACCACAGCCATGCCCTTGCTCTGCTGATCTGTGCCCCAACCTGTGGATCAGCTTCCCAGCTTGACCTCAGTCCTGCCTTGTCACCATGGATCTCCTTGGCAGTCACTGGAACTGGACTTGATCCTGACCCTGACCTGCGGATTGCCTTCCTAGCTTCATCTCGGACCTGTCTCGTCACCACAAACTTGGCTGATGGGCTGGCCTCTTGGATAGACCTGGCTGCAATCCCTTGCCCTGCTCGCCTTGCTTGAGTACTGTGGGTTTGGGCCCTGGCTGCTCCCAGGCAATGTCTTCTTCCAGGAAAGCACGAGAGTTTGCTAAAGCTCTGTTTCCCATCAGCTGGAGCTGAGCAGGTATCTGGAGGAGATGGAGGGTGGGGAAGGGCTGATGCACCCCACATTGCTGGGCCAGCACAGTCCCAGCTTGCCTGAGGATGTTCCCAGGAATTTGGAGACATGTGTTCCCCCACCCAGCAGCAGCAAATGAGAGGCAAAGGCTTTCTCCTAAAGGGAGAGCTCAGCTGCAGTGAGGAGCAACATCTCCCTCAGGTGTGGTCCTGCCCAGTGCAGGCAGGACTCTGAATGGCAGGGCTGCTCCAGGCAAGGTGAGGGTCACTGTGTCCTGCCTCCCTCCCAGTTCCCCAAGGCAAAAGCAAAGGTTTTAAGATAGAAGGCAGCTGCTCTTAGGCCCCAGGAGTGAGTGAAATATGACCGAGACCCAGCCCCTGCTTTATTTAATTAAAAAAAAAAAAAAAAGCTGCCAGGACAAACAGTCACAGTAAAAATGTGGAGTGAACCTCTGTGGAGCACAGGGAGCCATGGCTGCTGTTGGCGCAGCCAGGGACGCCTCTTGGCGGTAGGTGCAGGTAAGGCCCAACTCCTGGAGGCTGACCAGCGGCCTGGGCAAGGGTGTACCGACAGCCTCTGCTGCAAGGGCTACGGGGAAATGGCTCATGCTACACGCCACTGTCAGCGGTGCTCACAACACATGCTAGTAAATGCAAATTGCTGTGAACCCTCTTTTTTACCACCCCCTGGGAAATGGAAGAGCCCATGGAGAAAACAGGAGCTGGAAAGCTCAACAGAATAGCTTTATGAGCAGGCTGCTGCTGAGAGCTGCTTCCCCAGTCACCCAATGTCTCAGAAATGGCCGGACCAAACCCTTGGTCTCCTCATCGTTTCCCCAAGGCACTGGGAGCCAGATGCCTGCATCCTTCTAGGTTGAGATTTGGCCTTGGTGAAGTGCTTAACTGAAGAGCAACAGGAAAGACGCATGAGTTGCTTGGGAAGGCAGAGATTTTTTTACAAATCCAAGAGGACGGAGCCCAGTGAGTCCCCTCCAATCAGACAGTATGGAACAGGCTGCACAGGGCATGCTCACCACGGCACAGCTCGGCATATTTACAGCGCACAGACACGTGAGCAATCACGGAGAAATCCCTGAAAAGCCACAACTACCACTTACACTGCAAGGGCGCACCGATGCACAGTATCAGCAGCGAGCTGCCAGACGAACGTGTCAGCTCCTCCCTGGGCTCTGCAATGGCTGTTTGTTCCCTGGAGAACAGTCAGTGCAGCCATGTGGCTGGTGCACTCTGCCTGACAGCCCATCGGGAGAGCAAGACAGCACCACATGTCCAAGTGCAGCCCCGGGAGCACTACTAGTGTTGTAGTTTTGGCTGGTTAGGTAAGATCTAGGATGTTGGTTCAACGAGCCCCAGTATCCACTCTCTGTGCGTGGCATAAAGAACAGGGTTTGCCCTTCCTCCTTGGGGGGCCCAGCCATCAGTGACTCCAGAGTGCAAACAGAGCAGGTGCACTGAGCGGTGACAGCCAGCAGTACTCCACCACGCTGTACAGCGCATAGCCCAAGAGCAGGCCGAAGAGCACGTCCGTCACGTTGTGCCTGCCCAGCATGACCCTCGAGATGCCAACGATGAGAGCCCAGAGCACAACGAGGACCCGCAGTGGGACGGCGAGCACCAGGTGGTGCAGAACGAAACGGCAGACCAAGGCGGCTCTCGTGGCGTGGCCTGACGGGAAGGAGTATTTGTCCACCGAGATGGTGACGAACATGTCCATCTTGTTGTGGGTGGGCCGCCGCCGCTTCACGAGCCCTTTCACCACTGCCACCAGCACTAAATCCAGCAGCAACGCTAGGAGACAGCAACAGCAAGTGAGAAAGGAAGGTTTTGTCCCCATGAAAAACAAGGCAAGAATTAAAGCAAAGCCATTTACTAAGAGGAAAACATGTGGCTACTGAAACCTGCCAGGACAAGGCAGTTCTTCCCGTGGCAGCAATGCCTGGGTAGGGAGACCGTGGCCCTCGTCCAGGGACTGGCCTCTGCTCTTATGTGCTGATGGAGACTGAAGATGTGCTCTCTGCCACATGCAGCCCTCACTCGGGGCCAGACCCTCTGCCTGCCACAGTCAGCATCACCACTCGGCCTGACTCGCACGCCAGTGCTTTTCTTTCTCTATAAAATCTGAACTCTCCATGGCTTGGGGCTCAAACTGGCCCCTTAATTTGAAGGCAATAAAGGGGTTAATTTCCCCAGGACTCCTCTCCTGAAAGAGCCCTATCAGCCACACTGACTCAGCACTGCTTTGCATACCCTTGCAGCTGGGGTTACCTTGACGTTGGTGAATGATCAATCCACTTTAACTGCTCAGCTACACCTTTGTACAAGGAGCTGCAAGTCACACAGCTTCCCCCTTCCCCCCCCCAGTAGGCCTGAGGGTCCACAGAGCTCCCTACAGTCTGGCTTCTCCCTGCTGCTGGGGGGAATTAATGCCTAAAAGTCAATCACACTTTGGGTTTTCAAGAGCTGAATAAAGATGATTCAAACAATGCCAGCTTGCTTGAAGAGCACTAACAGCTATTGCAGTAGAAGTCAGCAGCAAAGCACCTGTGTGGGAGAAGGGTTCAGCTAGCATCTGGCAAGACCAACTTCTTGTGCAGGGCAGAGTGTGCTTTCTCCATCCCTGTAACACAGCTAGCTTAGCTGGCAGTGCTTAACAGCTGGGGCTGTTTCTTCCAGAGAAGCCTAGCACAAGAGACTGTGCACTGTCACAACTTCCCCTTGTTCTAAGGCGAGTTTCTGGGCACCAAATCTTTCAGTCACTTCAGTTAATTCATCCTCTTTCGATAATCATCCGAGAGCAAAACAGTTTTTCCATTTCAACCTAAATGGGTTTTCTTTTAATCACTTTTTCTTTCTTGCATACAGCTCGGACGTTAGGGAAAACTCCTTCCTCTAGGTGGGTGCTGCGGCCTTGGGACAGGGCACCAGGGAGGCGGGGGAACTCCAGCCTAGTGGGGTTCAGGCCTGGACATGGCCGTGGTGCCTGGATCTGGTGCCAGGACAGACCTGCTGCAAGCAGAGGTTGGGCTGGAGGCCTCCAGGTCCCTCCCCCCTGGCTCTGACGTGATACTGTAATTTAACCATGCATTGTTAAATGCAAAAAGAGGCACAAAGCCATCAGTTTCCAACCAAACCAGTTTAGACTTGCATAATAAATAGGAGAGTCATTCATTATTTTGCAACTAATACAAACGTAAGAATTGGGAATCTGAAAAGGTGTGTTGCTCTGGGGCGAATATAGTTTCTAAACGAGCAAAAATGAATTGGGGTGTGGCAAACAGGACAGGCTTCGGGGGGAGGTGGGAACGTTGCAGCACACAAGATTAAAATGTATGCTTTAAACCAAGCTTCCCCACTGGCTGACACAGTTTAATCCACGCAGGTACAGTCTGCGGCGAGCCCAAGGGCGCAGGCGTTTGTACTCCGGAGCAGAGCAGCAGCAGCTATGCAGGAAAACGGCCGGCGTCACGGCACTAGGCAGAGGCATCTGGGACGCGCTTTCCTGGTAAGCTGAAGGACTAAAACAAGAGTTCTGCTCCCCCGGGTTTTGTACAACCGGGGGAAAAGCGTTTAGCTGTCAGAAACTTGAGCGGGCCGCTGGAACGGCGACGGGCGAGCCACCCCGACGCCACCAGGCTCCCC